TCAACAAAAGTACACCGAATCATTGCAAAAGTAAATGTTTTCAAATCCCTATTTGTATCCACTTTTGTACAATTGGATGAGAAATGGTGTCTTCTACTTAACTAATTGCCCGTGGGCAAAATAAGTACAGATACAAAGGTGGATACAAAAATGGATACAAAAGTGTGGTTACAAAAATGGATACAACCCGACTTTTGGTATTTTATAAATAAATACGGTGAGTTTTACTTTTTCAAAATCCTAATCGTTTGAAATGTTACTGAATATTCCTTGTAGTGTCTCGAAAGAAGGAGCTAATGCAAACTCTCAGTACGCATAACTATGAATCGTTATGCATTACTAGCAAAACTAGCAAAAAGAATTTTGGATTAAAATTTGTTTTGATATATATTGAAACGCTTTCAAAGGCTTATAACAAAAAACAGGGCAGGGAAACAATGGCGGACCCAGTAAGGGTCCCATGGGGTCCTGGGACCCCATGCACTTCAAAAAATACCTATATATATTATGTATAATTTTTATAAAAATTAACCGAGCAATGTATATATATAAGACGAAGTAACTTCGTTTCAATATTATGGACTGGTGGACTGGTGGACCGCATGAATTGTTGCGTTAGCTCTTGAGGAGGTACGGGGATCGATTCTCCCCAAATGATCCTTTTTTTTAAAACCTCCACTACATCGAATGTTTTCCTTAGCTCCTCAGTGCAAGCATGCTTGATGCTTCTCCTTTCTTTCTTGTTCCCTTAAATTAATTTAGTTCACTGGGATTGAAACTCAACTTTACTAAAAATAAATCATTTTTCTGTTAGTTAGTTACTTGTGTGTAAAATACAATTGACCCAATTTGAAATGTTAACAATCTTATTTATTATTGTTTGTGTTCTTAAAAAATTACAACATGGTGAATTAAATATCATTCACGTACTTCATTTAGACTATGTTTTATTAATTTATATTTATGTATTAGATATTTAATTTTTGAAAAAAAATGTTAAAATATTTTCTTTGAATGTTAAGACTGAATTATTGAATTTATGATATTTATGAATGTTTTTTCTACTCCCTCCGTCCCATTGGACTTTACCAACTTTCTTTTTTTGATTGTCCCAAAAAACTTTTTCATTTTCTTATTAAAGCAACTAATTTGTGGTTCTGCAATTTATCTCTCCTCTGCACAAATTTCAACTACACAATTTTTACTATTCTTATTTCTCACCTACTTTGCACTTGGCAAAGTCCATTGGGACGGGAGGAATATATTTTACAATTTAGTATGAAAAGATACTTCGATCGCCTACCTAGTTTAAAAAAATTTGTAGTACCAGAATAGCTCAGACCTAATTCCAATGATTAGGATGAAAAGATATTTCGATAGTCTATATGACCAACATGTTGATTTGGAATCTTTGGAAGATGATTCTAGATCAAATTGCTTATTTTCAAACATGGCCATTTCAACCTCGGGAGTCGGGATGTACATTAACTATGAAACGTTATGCTGCTTTAGTATTTTAATATTTTACATTAAAATAGGGACCCCATGACTCTGATTTTCTGGGTCCGCCACTGCAGGGAAATGTAGGGCAGCTTCCATGCACTGAAACAGCATAAACTGTTTCAAAGCTTAAAACTGCTACCCCAATTACAATTGATTGAATTCAATATAGACCGGGTGAAATTGAGCTTTCGCAGGTGTGATTTCACGCGAGAACCCATTGGATCGGTCATATTCTCTGATCGTAGACAACAAAAATAACGATAAGATAAATGAATCCTATTATGTAAAACCTTTCTTGAGAACGAGAGAAACAGTACGTTTCTGCCGAAGAAGAAGAAAGGTGTTTGACGTTTTATGTCTGCCCGCAACGGAACTCGAGCGCCATGGAAGTCGAAGACAGAGCTCACTCGGTTCTCTCAAGGCAATTTGGTTCTAAAGACCTAGATTAGGTTCATTTTATAAGTGACCGTATGTGCCCAGATCTGTCTATACTTTGTGGCCCAATGGGCTTATGTTACTCCATCCACCTTCCTTTCTCCTAAGTTAGTAGGTCATGCCCCTCTGAGGCCCTGTTTACTTTCAATTTAGGCTATGTTTGGTACAATTAGCTGAAAAGATCTTTTTGTGAGCTTTTTAGATACTGTTAGTTTTTAATGACTGAAAAGATCTTAAAAGTAAAAGGTGGTAGCTCTTTGGTAAAAAGCTGACTGTTTGATTTAGTTCTGTTTGGCATACAAGCTGTTAGGATTTATTAAAGCTAAAAGTCACAGACTTTTCTCAGATGCTACTACCTGTAGCATCTCAAAAAAGAGCTTTTATTTTTTGAAAAGCTCTCCAAAATTGGCGTGCCAAACAAACAACTAACAACTTTTAGAGACTTTTTAAATAGTACAAAAGCCAAAAGCTATAGACTTATGTCAGCCAAACATAACCTTAATGGGCTGAATAGAAAAAGTGACTTAATCATTCATGTATATAGGCTATGTTTGGCAGGCAAAAGTCCATGCCTTCTAGCTTTTGTATTATTTAAAAAGTCTCTAAAAGCTCCTAGTTGTATGTTTGGTATGACAATTATAAGAGCTTTTCAAAAAATAAAAAGCTCTTTTTTGAGATGCTACAGGTGGTAGCATCTGAAAAAAGTCTGTGACTTTTAGCATTAATTAGTCCTAACAGCTTCCGACCAAACAGAACTAAACCAAACAGTCAGCTTTTTCCCAAACAGTTACTACCTTTTACTTTTAAGATCTTTTCAGTCACTAAAAGCTAACAGTTACTAAACAGCCTGTAAAAGTATCTTTTTAGCTAGTTGTGCCAAACATACCCATAATGTTGTTTACTTAGGACTTAATTTTTAATGTGTCTTATTCGCTCAGTCATCTTATGACTTATTGGTTCACCTCCATTTTAACACTCCTTAGCAATCAGACGTGTTTTTGTTAAGGGATTGCCTTCTTTAACCCTGGCTTCTTGTTCAAATATTTCATCGCATACACAACAGCAGTGAAGACTTTGAACATAGCCGCTTCCAGCAACTTCCGAGCTAGCGCCGCTCCTAGCAACTCCAAGCTAGTGAAGCTACCATGGAAGCAACGAAGAGAAATCTCAACCCCGCCTTCTTCATCTAGGTATTCATCTGATTTTTTATATTTTTTGTTCTCCTTTTCTCTCCTTATGGTAAAATCGCTATATTCTGATAGTTCTATAAAATTTTTGAAATTCAACTTAATCTAGATATGCCATATTCTTAAACACGAAGTTGTATGATCGAATTTCTTTTATCATATGTGATATTTTGATTTTTTTGGGGGGATGTTGATACACCATCTATTCTTAGGTACACACCATGAGTTTTTATGTCTTCCGAACACTGATTTTTTTATTGTTGATTCATTGTTTATTTTTTCCCCATTATTGAGGCAGATTTTTTTTTTTTTTTTTTTTTTGAAAGGGATTTTATTTGTTGTTAATGTAAGTAATTGCAGATTTTGGTGGCCATAATGTTATTATTACATATACACATATCATTTTATTAATTTGCCGAGTACTTCATGCTATGTTAACTCGTACGGTGTTGTTTGTAGTTATATACAAGTAATACAACTTATATGTTTGATCTACAATTTAGGTGAGTAACTAATTTATATCATTGAATATGATAATTTTTTGTTGTTCTTTACTCTAGTACATGTTCTGCACACCAGAAACAAGCAGGATTTTGTTAGTTTTAAGTCACGATTGTTAAGACCTTTTTTTATTCCTTTAATTGTAGTTCTGAAGTTTTTTCTGTACTTGTAGAGAAAAGGTGTGCATTATAAGAAAATACAACATTCAAGATAAGTTATTCGATGAGTTGGAGGATAAGACAATATTCAACTATGAAGATGGAGAAAGTAAAGGAAGCGAAGAAGAAATAGATTATGAACTTATTTGCTTCGTAAATTGGCATTGTAAGAATGGGACACATACAACATAGAGTATATGACAATTTTATGAGATGTTTTTGCTAATTGAGTAGTAAGAAAAGCTAAATTTCATATTTTGGCGTAATATTATTGAATTCCTATGATTGTGTTTTATGAACTTATTTGCTTCGTAAATTGGCATTGTAATAAATTTTATGCAACCAGAACATCACTCGGGATAAATAAAGTAAAGAATGTTCATCACTTGTTACGGGCAGAAGGGTAAATTGGGAATTCAATATAATTCAGACTATAAATTCAACACACATAGTAAACAGCTTGTTATCCCAGTGACACTTAATCCAGACAGACGTCTTAATACAGACAGACGTCTTAATTCAGACAGGACTTAATAAAAATAAAAGTAAACAGCCCCTGAGAGTCCATACAAAAGAATATAAGTACAATTTCAAAATGTATTCCGTAGTTTTTTAAGCTAAACAATCTAGTTTAAAACTAAAAATAGTAATATTGTTTTTAATTTATTTTCACTTTTTTCTGCGTAGTAATTTACAAAAATTACTTTTTATTGAATACTCTTATTTTTATTTTATTAAAATCATTTTCCTTTACAAATTTCACCAACTTTTATTATTAACCATTTTTTATAGCCTCCAAAATAGATAACTACTTGGCATCCTCGCTCAATGATTCAATTACTGTTTTGATTTACATTTGAATTTTTTTTAAAGTATTTCCTACTTGAAGAACCACTCGTTTTCACCATTTCACGATTTTAATGAAAATTAAATCTACAAGATAAAGATGTGTATATGTAACTATTAAATTGAAATCCTTTAGTCCTATTTATAGGATAGGACAAGATGGTACCGATTATAAGTCATTTATATATTGATAAATTGATTTGCTTTTGCACAATCTCTTATATTAAACGAGGTTATAATGAAGGAGCCTTGTTTGTTAATTCTTAAAACGTATCAAGGTTGTTTAGAAAAACATTACTATTGAGTGATGTAAGATTAAGAAAAAATCAACATCATTTCAAGTAATTTAAATTATTTCATTGATTTGTGTGTGAAACCCAACATTTTGCACTATAAATGGACAGGTGAGGGTGTAAAAAGGAAACACACAAAATGACATACGGAGTTGTCCCGCATCCCTTGGTTAATATCAAACCATTCCAAGCACAAATCGTTCCCCCAATGACTCATTCACTATAATCTATGGACAGATCATGAAATCCTTCATGGTGAAGTAATTCTGTGTGGTAAGAATGAAGCATATCTAGTTTTCTACGTTTCAAAATTCACTACAGTGATATGGTAAACTTTTGGACAAATGCTCAAGCAGTTTTCATTTTTTTTAAAATGACGTTTTCCTGTGTTGAGTTTCTTGTCTCGTGTTCCTGGAACATCAGACAGACTCTGGTTCATTGACAAATAGTAAATTTTCATCTGCATATCTTCATCTTTAATGCCTACAATTCTTGTCTCAAAGACCCAAATCCTTCTGGTGGCCATACCTGCAGATAAGGTCGCAGGATGGAACTAATATAAGTAACAAAGATGGTGACTTGGCACTTTAGACTCAAAGAAACAGCAGATGACTGAAAGTATGAGACAGCTTATTTTCTTTGTACATGTAGCTGAGTGGGTACTGATTATATTAGTCAAAGACAATCAGAGTCTTAGCCATAACCAGGTTATTATGATTCAGATTTTCCGAATGCAAAATCCAAAGAAAAAAGATGAAGATGATGCTTGTTTCAAGAACCTGTGTAGCCCAGTGGTAAGGTCAAGTAACACACTGAGTGATGTCAAAGTTTTCTTTTTTTCCTTCTCTCTTTTCTCTATAAAGGGTTTTGAGTTTTTTTAATCATTTGGGGGTGGCATTTCTAAAGCAGTTTAAACTGTTTAATAGTGGTATTCGATGAGAGAGGCATGTCCATATGGTTCATGGATTAAATAAGCACTATGAGTGTTTACTTTTTATTTTTGGGAGCATTTGAGAGGCATGGTGAACTGGTGAATAACGAACCTCCGACCTAGCATATGCAACAGGATAGCAAGGTAGTTTGTAATTTGTATAACCTTGTTGTCTAAAATCAGGACTATGGCTGTTGTATGTTTAGTAAGAAACTAAGAACTACAAGAGGGGATGACGTGTAATACAGTATAAACTATAAAGCTTGAGGTTCACGTTTTCCTACACCCATATGCGAAACAGTTCAAGTTATGGAAATTTATCAATCAAACATGGTGTTTATCCAGCAATGAGCATCTACGAGTTCAAGCTGAAATATTATGTTGGCGCTAACGTGCTTTTGTACTGGGGTAAACTAGGATGGCTAACATTACCTCTCAAAATCAACTAGAAGCGCACATACCTCCTAAAATCTTAAGATAAGAGGATTGTGGTCAACATTTGGCTCACGGCTAGACAAGTACTTTGATCTTGACAAGTTCCATAAACATCACAATGGCTTTGCATCGACCGTGTTTCATCGGACAGTTTTTAAGAGAAAACCAGCAATTTGTTAAAGTTATAGAAAAATCCAAGAGAAACTGCTGAAGCTTACCAACAAAGATTAAAATTCTGTTTGGCAAGGGTTAGTTTGACTGAGATGACTAAAGTTGCAACACTTTTGGCTGAAATTGTTGAGGCTGCTGAATTTGATGAATTATTGAAAATATGCATAACGTTTTGGGTCAATTCAGGAAAAAGTTGGAAACTGTGTATGTGTTTGTCAATTTATATAATATTTCTTGATAAGTTCATGAGACATTGGAAACAATATCTTGAAATGAGGGAAGAAGTTCCATTCTCATAAACTTCATCAACTTTACACTATCGATGTAGGGTTCAAGTTTCACCTGAGATCTCAATAATAATATTAGAAAGGTAATGTTATAATACTTTGCCTGGTTGGAGTTCTAATATATCAAGAGATTAGGTAATGTCAGATCACATCATTTGGTTCAAGTTTTAAGAATACTACACTAATCTTAGATTACCTAATGAAAGATTACCTTGATAATAATGTTATACTACTAGTCTACTATTAAATCATGTATTCTTGCATTTTTCTATTCTAAACAGCTTAGTATTATATTTTTACAATCTCAACCAAACACACTAGGTAATCTTACATTCATATAATCTCATATAACCTAGAAGATCTCATTGCCTAGGCATTATTGTATTCTACTAATAGCGAATTACCGTCCATAAGGTAAACATATTGCATAAAGTTTTCTTAATTTCCGCGAAATACACACTAATGACCATCCAATTCAGCACAAAAACAGGTGGAAGCACAAAACATTCAGTTTGACTGAGCAACACAATAGATAGATACGGAATATAAAGAAGAATAAGAAAGTGTGCAACAACCAAACAACCCCAAGGGGTGGATAAAAAAATGAAGCAAAAGTACAACTTACTCTAAAGAAGACTTTTCCCAGAATAAGACCATATGGGATTGGCCCAAGTTGCCTTGAATCCCTGGATGCATATATATTATCTCCTTGAATCCAAACATGCCCCTTTGGAACCTGAACATCTCAGCAAATGAGAATAGAAGAATCACATGGAAAAATTCAATAAAATATACGTAGTACAGAACACCTTTAACTGTTAACTTTCACGAGTAATAATAATATTAAAAAAAAAAAAACTAAAGAACTAGGATTCATGATAGGAAACCACAAAGGAAAATTGAAATACGGAGTATGATAGTAGTACATAATAGCACAGACCTTTACAGTGACAGAGCTGTCACTGAGTCCAGGATCGGGTAGGAAAGTGACGAAATCGTTCTCCATGCCCATAACCCGCTTGGTAATAATCTTTCTAGGGTTATCAGTTGCCCGAACTAGGACGACGTCACCGGGACCCACCTTCCCCAGAAATGGAGACACGTGTTCGACCAGCAGCACATCCCCTGTTACGTTCAACGTCGGGAGCATGCTCGGACCGTAGACCTAGTAAATGAAGTTTCCAATCAATTGAACGGGACAAAAAAAAAGAAGAAACCCTAGAATCAATGGGGATGAAAAGGAGAAGAGATTTTGGGAGCGTACCATGAGAGGAGAGCAGACGTATCGGTCGGCGACGTGCAGTAGGCAGAGGAACTTGACAAAGAGGAATGAGTGCTGGAATCCCTCCTTGGCCTTTGATCTCCATTGGTTAACATTGATGTTCCGAAGAAATCTGGTTATCATCGTCTTCAATTTCTCGGAAGTATGTCCGCCGCCGCCGGGGCGCCCAATTTGGTAAAAAAATCTAACCAACCATTACCTGATTCAGAGGTACCTAAACTGGTCTTTTCTTATTTGTTCGTCATCATACATTACAAGTGATGTTTTTTGCACAAAATAGGGCAAACATCCTAACCATCTTTTACTAGACAAGTTAAAAGGATCACACTTTCCTTTTATGTAAGTGCATTTTAAACGAAATTTTCATTTGTATAAACCTTAGAGACATCATTTTTATAAAAAAAAAAAAAAATTACTCCGTACATAGTAGAACGATTCCTATTTTTATGTATTTTTTGCTTCATATAACATAAAATAATAAAATGAGAGTATATTTGATAAATTGATATACAACTTTTTTACATAAATATGTGTGCATATCAAATTAAAAATTTTGTTTTGAAACAAAGAGGGTATTACTTTGAAATTGTAAAAATAAGCAAAACTCAATACAAAGCTCGTAGATTGAAATAGAAAACGTAATATATAGTAGTATTGGACATTGTATATAGCGTCATGTTTGATTCTAAATTGACATAAAGGATCAATGTAGATTTGAACGAAAAGAGATTATTGCAGTGTTTGCATTTGTTTTTTTAAGCACTTTGGAGCTTTTAGCTTTGGAAGAGCTAAAAGTGGTGTTTGCTAACCCTATATTTTGCTTTTTAAAAATGATTTTAAGCCAAAATCTAAAACCAGCCCAAGTGCTTTGGAGCTTTTAGTGCTTTTAGGTAATGTTGTAAATAACTCCAACTTTAGGGATAATGTCACGCCCAATTAAATCCAAAATACCCTTCATCTCTCCCACACCAATCCAACATCGGAGCTCACCCCTACCTACGCTCTGCACTTCTTTCTTCCCCCTTTTCCCCCACACACATACACCCCAAATATTATATATATTCCATGGGAAGAAATCTAGATCCATGGGGATTTTGAATGCTGAGAATCGCCACCAGGGGACTTCAAGGGTGTATTGCCAATTTACCATCCTCCGCCTCCGCCTCTTCCAAAGATGTCAAGAAGCCAACTCACCGCCGTGACGGCGACGGCGACATCCGTCGGTTGTGTCGTGGCGGCACGGCTACAGCGGCGTTCTCCAAGGTTGTGGCTAGGGTTGATTTTGCTGATTGCTTTTGTTTAGAGGAACTCCGGCAGTAGCCATGGATTGGAGCCGATTGAGGTAAATGCTCTGTAAATGCTCCATCTATTGAAAGTGTTAGGAAATTGATGTAACGTATCTTGAAAGTACAACAAGAGAAGTTTAAAATTTTCCTAAACAGATCTTTTCTTATTATGATAAAAACAACGAATATAACAATAATAAAGAATCTGAGTTAGAACTTGCAGATCTTCCAGCCTACCGGTGATAATCTTTGACTTTAGATATCCACGTGATTTCTCATTTTCCAAAGAACGGTTAGATCTCACATTGAGAAAGGCTAGGAAATCTCTTCGCTGGGAAATAAACCGGTAATACTGAATCTGAAAATTAGTCTCCAAATTATGAAGGGGTGTATTTATACTAGTTCTAAACAAGTTCCTCAATCACAATGAAAGTCTTTCCCAATAATGCATGTGTTCTAGTCCTAACAGGACCAATGATTATTAACGATTTCATTAATTAAATAAACAAAACAAAATAAATGAATAATAACATCAAAGTGGCTACATGTCACTTTACTTGTTAGAGGCCGTTTGGCAACATCATTTTTCGGCTTATCAGGCTTATCAGCCAACTTTTTCACCAAATACGTAACTTTTACTTTCGCGCGCAGAATTGTGTAATAAGCAGAAAAAAGTAAGGTTGGAGTTACTTTTCTGACTGTATTGGCTGAAGTTACTGTAGATGACCATTTTAGCTATTTTTACATATAATTTTTTCTTTATTTTATTAATAAAATGTATTTTAAAAATATTTTTTACTTCAATCAGCAGAAACAGCCAAAACAGCCACTTCAGCCAGAACTTCATAAATTTCAGCAGAATCAGCCACTTATTATTTATTTTATTTTATGTTTTCTTTTAATTCTAAATCATAAAAGAAAATATCAACTTTATTTAATTAAAAATACATCTTAATTAAGTACAATAAATCCAATTTATTCCACTTAATTAATTCTATCAAATAGAACTTTCCTTCAACTTCATGAATTAAATATGTTTAATCTAATTAATATGTAGTCCATTTTCAGTATTACGAATTAAATTTTATTTAATCCAATTAATATTTAATTTCTTCTAACAATTCAATCGGAAGATATAATCACTTGTTGTGTGACCCATAAGGCCTTATATATTAAGCACTAATTAAATTAAGGTCTTAGCAAAATCCTTAGGTGATTTACTAGACAATATTAATATATAAGGACGTTTGTGATGACTATTCAAACTTCCTGTAAGATAGAGCTCATAGTGATAATGTCCTTTCATTCAATAAACATTCAGCTAAGTCTAGAAGTTTATATTGTGTCTATTCCAATAACTTAGTCTCTATCTCTCAATCTTTCTAGATGATCCATAACGATCATATTCGATATCCAAAACGAATATATCTTTGCATTGACCAATGACTTTATGATCCATCTAAATATGAGAAGTAAAATATTCTCTCTTAATCTATTACGATGAATGAATTCTTTCTTGGCTCAACTACTACTCCATGTGCTTCATGATGTACCCAACACATGTCGTATCTACCCCGATTGGAGTGCAAGCGTTGGTCATGGTCAAAGTACATCACTCCGCACATGTAGTACGTATTAACCTCAAGTCAAAGGACTATTACACTACTCTATATGCCGATAATCCCATAGACACATGAATAGAACTTATCAAATGGTTTCTCGGTGTGTATGCCAATACTCTCTAAAATATCTATGTGACCATCATGAATTACAGGAACTCATAGTTGTGAGATCAACTATACTTTCTAAAAGTATGATGCAGTCCACATACCAATCTTATCGCATATCATCAATATCTCATTCTTGATGATCACTGATTGGGGCTATTTTAGGACCTTATGTTATATCATATAAGCTCCATAAGTCCAAGGGAACACAATTATGAATAAGATATTGACAATCGAATACTTAATCATCAATGTGTAATACCATATATATCAAATATATAAAACTGAATGCGATCGAGTATATATCTCTAAAAAATGATTATCATAGAATATATATACTAACAGAAAGCAGGTGGTCAAGACGTGCATTCTTTAGCTCCATATATTGAAACGGGGCAGTGTGTCTCCGTGCAAAAGAATGCAAGAGCATTTACCGAGTGAAAGATGAGTGAAATGGGACAGTCTGCAAACACTCAAGACTAAAATATTAAAGAAAAAGGGCAATTTTGTACTTTACAAAAAAACTACATCAAAAATCACTTTTTTTTATCAAACACTAACTTATATATTTTAATTAAAATCACTTTTATTCCCAAACACTACCTACTTTTACTACTAATTATTTTTTCAATAATCTCTTAAAAATCACTTCTAAAAAGTATAAGCAATTGTAAACACTCACATATATCTCAATTAAAAAGACAAACACACCCACCAACCTCTTTGCTATCAGCTTCGCTGAAGGAACATCCACCACCTCCTTCTATCAGTATATTTATTGTGAAATTTTTAATATGTACGTATTTGTATGTACATTTTTATATCGCTGCTCCTCATATCGAGTAATCCTGCGTACACCGCTGTCTCTTATCTTTATCAAATCAAGATTTGATGACCTCTCACATCTTCTTGAATTGAGTTTTAATCTAAATTCACTTCCTATTCAGATGGACACCATATTAAAAAGAAATTTGCAAGGAAGTTTACAACACCTTTTCATGATGAATATCTTTAATAACAAAAAAGAGATTTACTTCTAAATAAACAAAATTAATCATGCATAATATTCAAATATAAGCGGGCCAGTATTCAGACAAAAAGCAACGTCATTAAATCTAAGGATGTTTTATTTTGGACCGAAATTTGCTGCTCTGATCTGTTTTGGTGTGGTCTGAAACTGAAACAGTCCAAAAGAAAACATCCTAAATAATAAGCAATTCTTGATCACAACAAAATCAAAAGCAAACCCAAAGACACATCTACATTTTTTGGTGGGCACATTTCATAAAAAAAAGGATGACACCCCATTCCTGAGACCCCCAACACCGACAGGACGGCACAATGGATGGATACATTTCATAAAGAATGTACGGACAACCCACATAATCATTTATTAGCCACATACATTTTTTATGGCTGAGTTTAGCCACTGACTTTAAAAAGTGGTTTGTCAAATGTCTAAAAATATCGTTCAAAAAATCGATTAATAGAAACCAATGAATCAAATTAATCGTGGTCTTTCTTGATCCACTCAAATGGCCAATATGTATTCCTTCTGGGAACTGGGAAGCAAATTCTTCATTGAGTGAATTCCCTAAATAGGACTAAAAAGTGGAAAAATTACACAAATAGGACTACATTTTTTAAATTCCCTTAATGGGACTATTTATGTGTGTTTGGACAAATATACCCTTGTAACTTGTGAAATATTTTAATTAATAATAAAATCATAAAAAAATTAATAAAAATCGAAAAAAATACTAAAAATCGTAAAAAAAATAATAGAAAATTAATAAACATATTTTTTAAAAAAAATAAAAAAAATATTTTTTTAAAAAAAATAAAAAAAAATAAAAAAAATCATAAAATTAAAAAAAAACACATTACCACCCCTGCCACCCCCAACACCACCATCTCCCATCACCGGACAAAAATATGCCAACATTTTAAATAATGCCATAATGATGGCATAATCAATGAAAATGTTGGCATATTGAAGAGTAATTATGCCATCTTTTTGGCATTTTCAGAAAAATATGGCATTTTTTTATCAAAAGTGGAAGAAATTTCACCAATCGAAGGTGGTGGTGCTGGGAGGCGGCGGGAGGCGGTGAGAAAGGTATCCATAATTTTTTTCATTTTTTATGGGTTTTTACTATTTTTTATTATTTTTTTAAAAAAATTAAAAAAATAAAAAATTAAATTTTTTATTTTATAAATGTTTTTTATTTTTTTTTAAATTTTTTTACGTTTTTTAAATATTTGTTTACGTTTTTTGTGATTTTATTATGAATTAAAGCATTTCATTATGAATTAATACTCTTAGGGGTATTTAGGGTAGAAAATCAATGTTTAGTCCTATTTAGGGAATTTTAAAAATAGTAGTCCTATTTGTGCTTTTTAGGAACTTTTTAGTCCTATTTAGGACAATTTCCGTTCTTCATTTTATCCTCAACTTCTCATCTCCTCTCCGAATAGCGTCCGTCTGGGTTCGTTTCTTGGTGCGCTCCGCCAAAGGCTTAAACTTTAACCCTTCAAGAATGATTCAAGTGAATTTGGGAAACTAAGCAACTTTCTGAAGTGGGTTCTTGCTTTGGAGGAAAAAAAATTGCGAATTTGCTTGACGGGTATCAGTACACATTTGAGGATGATGTCAGTGACCTGCCAGTACTACCATAGTCTTGAGTATGGAAGAAGTAGACTGTACTTTGCAGCTAATGGGTGCCCTATAAGAAATACCGACAAGTGTGCTGTTACCAGGGGCTTCAAGGCTCAGAAATCGCTGTGTTGCAGGCGTTATGCCGGCCGGTGCCGGGTCTTTTCTACAGAGAGCTTGGGCAGTCTGGTTAATGGTAAACTCTCTTTGCAGCCTCGAAGTGACTTGGTAGCTCCTTCAGTGCAAAACTTGTTTTTCACTTTTGCTAATTGCAGTTTAGCCTAATAAGTACTAGGTTAACTTTGCTACTCCAGCTGCTGCACCTCCTCCTGTGTTGAATTTGATGGGAAAGTCCAGAGGTCCTGTTTGTCTTACAAGTTTGTTTGAGTTGGTTGCTGATGACCTCCTTATGCTGAACAAGAACTTACAGTCTGTGAGTATTAATTGAAAGTGCCCCCACCCCACCCCATCTTAGTTGCTCTTCTGAAGAACTCTTGTTTTGGGCCTTTATATCAAGTTATCCCACACAAATACAATGCACATACGGCATGGAGGGTCAGTATTACATTTATATGAGTCCTTATGTGTTATCTTAACTCCTGTTTGAATGTTCAAATTTCATTTAATGTTAAATAGAAGGGTGTAGAGTTACTTTGAAAGTGGACAGAATTACATAAATAAATAGGATCCGTTGATGTTTTGTTTTGACATCAGAGGCCGTACTGTAAACCAGAAACAAATTAGACTTGCCCACCATGGTGGTGGAATTGGATGGGCTAAACATGAATGTACTATGACTAGGGGTTTACTAGAAGAGTAAGGAGAGTTATTTGTTACTTCTTTCATTTGGATGTTACTGAAGAAAAAATGTTGCTATGTTGGTTGGATCTTGACTAGGTGAAGCTCTCAATTAGGGGTGTTTGTCACTTCTGTTTGGCTGTTGCAGTTTTGGTAGTCCGATTTTCAAAAATGCGAAACTAAGAAACGAACCAAGAGGCTTAGGTTGGTTTTGGCTACGTTATCTTTGGTTGTTTTGGCATATTTCAGCCAGTTTTATCTGTTTGTTAGGTTTTTAAAGCATGATTCGTAAACTGTAAACCGAATTGATTATGAGTTGGTGATTGGTTTTATTCAATCTTGTTTCCTTCAGTTTGCTGGTCTGATTCGGTTTGTCGTTTTTCAGCCCTAGGTCCTAGCCTCAAAGAAGTTATTATGTGATTACAGCATACAAGTTTGAATAGTATAGTTGGGACCAGTTCAGATTACTGTCAGTTTCTTGTTTTATGAATGTAAAAGGTATGTGATTTATGTTATCTAATGAAGTAAAGAATATATCAAACTAGAGTAAGAATGTTAGGTTTGAAAGCTGCCAGCAGTAAACTGAAAATGACTTTATCCGGTTTTTAAAATTTTGTTTTTAGTTTCCAATAAAAAGAGGAAATGTTACTGAATGAGGCCTTATTGCTACTCTTAATTGTTTGCTCAAGCTTAATCTTTAAATCGTTCTTGAGTTAGACACTAACTGCGATGACATTTTAGGCGGACTTCTATCCTTAACCACCTATTAGATCTTTCATATCACTTCATACAGAAATCTGATTGAAACCATCTCTTAGATTGTAGGTGCAGATAACCCAGTTTTAGTGTCTGCAGCGGAACAGATTTTTGGTGCTGGTGGGAAAAGGATGAGACCCGCTTTGGTTTTTCTTGTTGCTCGAGCGACATCAGAAATGGTTGGCCTGACGTGAGGACCACCAATTGCACTTCCGGTTATTATTAATATTATGTATCCAATTGTGTACTATGATGAATCAGCTTACTTAGGATCCTGCGAATATATTTTTTGCTCAGGGAACTGACTAAGGAACATAGGCGGCTAGCTGAAATCATAGAAATGATACACACTGCAAGTTTGATTCACGATGATGTTTTGGATGAAAGTGACATGCGCAGAGGTTTACACCTTTATCTTGATTATAATTAGTTAATTAATTAAAGTGATTATGGCCATAGAAATTGAAAGACTCGAGAAGTTGAGATCCTTATTCACTTCTTTTTTGCTTTTGCAGGAAAGGAAACTGTCCATCACTTGTATGGTACAAAGGTTGCAGTGCTGGCTGGTGATTTCATGTTTGCACAATCATCATGGTACCTAGCTAACCTTGAAAATCTTGAAGTCATAAAGCTTATAAGCCAGGTATATAATAAGATTTACTTACACTGGTGCAGCTTTTTAGGGTCCAACTAATGACCCATGAATTATGCCGTATCCGTTAATATAAATTTAAACAGCTTTTGCACTTTATTTTTCTGATGATAGAAAATGAAGTGAGAAAGTTATTTCTACAGCTAAAATGAAAGCAAATTTCACTTTTTCCTTTGTTTTTCATACACCATCCATCCCCGCAAAAGGCCCCCTCTGACTTGGCATGCTTATTAAGAACAACAAATTGTGTGGTTAGATTATATGTAAAGGATCTAAAAGTTGAATCACACAATTATTTCCATAAAATGAAAGAGGGCTGGTACTTGGCACATGGGTGAAGGAAAGGGCATCCTTTTTCATTGCATAGGAATATCATTTTATTTGGTTTGTAAAAAATCTTTCAATGATACCTTAGTGGATAATATAGCTTATTCAGCTTTTTCAGCCACTCTATCATTAACATCAGCCATTTCATCTAAAATCTACCATTTCCAAAAAATGAACTCTATATTTGGTAAGAATGTAAGATTTATTTGTCTGAAATAACTGTATCTGCTAAATTTTCCTAAAGGAAAAAGTTTGGTCAAATCAATTTATAAAAGGAAAAACGTTTGGTGAAATCTATTTCAGCCAAATAATAAATGAAAGAACTACTTATACTCTGCAAGTAGAATTAGATGATCACTGCTACAAAACAAGGCCACTCAACGCAATTTTCATTAATAAGAAACTTTTTCATTTGAATAGTTGGCAAATCTGTTTAAGCTATTGTGTTCAGTGCTTTGGACGTTATGACAGGTTATTAAGGATTTCGCGAGCGGTGAAATAAAGCAGGCATCCAGTTTGTTTGACTGTGATGTTGAACTGGAAGAATACTTGATCAAGAGTTACTACAAAACAGCTTCATTAATTGCAGCTAGCACGAAGGGAGCTGCCATATTCAGTGGGGTCCACAAGGAGACAAGTGAGCAGATGTATCAATATGGGAGGAATCTTGGTCTATCCTTCCAGATAGTCGACGACATACTAGACTTCACTCAATCAGCAGAGCAGTTGGGGAAGCCGGCCGGCAGTGACCTGGCAAAGGGAAACCTCACTGCCCCCGTGATCTTTGCACTACAAAAGGAGCCTAAACTTAGGGATTTGATTGAATATGAATTCTGTGAAACTGGATCTCTAGAGAAGGCCATCAGGGTTATCAAGAACTGTGGAGGGATTGAGAGAGCTCAAGAGTTGGCAAAAGAGAAAGCAGATATGGCCATTCAGAATCTCAGGTGCCTTCCTCCTAGTCCTTTCAGAATAGGACTGGAGGAAATGGTGACTTATAATCTTGAAAGAATTGAATAGGATGAACTTTCTTTGTGGATATGAAGCACATATCCAATGATGTATGTGATGATGGCACACTAAACTTTAATAGTTTAGAGCATCACAGAAGAGTAAAGCATTCTTATGTAGCCATTTGGATTCTTGTAATGAGCCAGCTCTTGCACCTCCTTATTAGTTGTATACTCCCATAAGAGGTCATGAGCAGCCTATAGCTTGTAGCGTATATGTGTATACCTTTATTTAGCTTTTTTGCAAAGGAGAATGAATACATTATGTGTTGTGAAAATAATGGTACCATACTTAGTGCCCTTTTGGTTCATTTCCAAATTGTAGAGTGGTTATTATTATTATTTGGACATTCAATAATTAGCCATCTCTTCTATTGTTGCATTCGTTATACTTGAGATATTTATCTTGTTCAGGAATTTATAGTAATAATTTTCAAAAAATGATTTTTTGTACGAAATCGGGCTGTTTTGGAGTTTGGACAATGTGTTTTTGCAAGATGTTTCTGCATCGTTTGTGGGAACTTGTAATTGTGTTCAGACACGCAGGATACCAACTTACCAAGCCTGAATGGGAGGCACTTGGTTTTGTGATTATCTTTTTTTAAAGGAAAAATTGACAAGAATAATCCCACCTTTCACTGGTCTTCTCATAATAATCCCACCTTTAAATAATCCCAAAATAATCCCACATTTGCACCTCATCTTCTTTCATTGGACCCTGACCATGTTTTTTACTCTTTCTTTCTTTGAAAATTATAAAAATAATCTCACCTTTCACTTTTTAATTATATCCTTATAAATGTGAGATTATTTATATAAGATTTTTAAAAAAGATAAAAAACTTGGTCAGGGTCCAATGAAAGAAGATGAGGTGCAAATGTGGGATTATTTTGGGATTATTTAAAGGTGGGATTATTATGAGAAGACCAGTGAAAGGTGTGATTATTCTTGTCAATTTTTCCTTTTTTAAATGAATAAAGAATCTCTTGAAAGTCATAGAAGGACCGTTTCAGTTTTTTGTAGACCGTTTTTTTTATCAACTTAAGAATGATAATACTATAATAGTGGGTATTATTATGGGCAGTGGCGGATCTAAAAATATATTTATTGGGGCATAAACTTTTTTATTGTAAGAAATTATCAACCCTAATACACACTGTCATACTTCCTTCGTTTTTTTATTAACTGTCTCGTATTCCTTTTTGGGACGTTTTTAATTATTTGCCCATCTTTCCTTTTTTGTGAGTTTTTTCAATCAAAATACTTTTATACCCTCACTTTTATTACCATTACCCCTTTCTCTTTCATACTTTTTTATTTACCCGCAACTCACTATACCTTTTACACTAACCTTGTTATTTTCCTCTTAAAACAAGTGTCAAAACCTAAGGAGACAGATAATAAAGAAGAGGGAAAAGAGGCAAATAAGCCCTCAAACTAATAAAAAAAAAGTGCAAATAAGCCCTTTTGTAGGAGGTTCTGCCCTTTTGAGCATTTTCTTCATTAAGTCTAGTTTAGCCATACCGAATTTCAGCTAAAAATTCAACCGGGAAAGCACTCAAATGATTTTCGGAAATATACTGCGTGGTTTAACTGCGCAGTTATCTTCAAAAATTCATTTGACTGTCTTCCCGGTTGAATTTTTAGCTTAAATTTAGTAGGACTAAACTAGACTTAATGAATAAGATGCTCAAAAAAATTCATCAAAAAATTCCACCGTGAACCTCCCCAAATGACGATGACTGGACGGAACCTCCTACAAAAGGGCTTATTTGCGCTTTTCTGATTAGTTCGAGGGCTTATTTGCCCCTTTTCTCTAAAGAATACTTGTTTTCCCTTTTACCTCTCGTGTCTAACAGATAAACCCAGAATTTATATTCTCTATCAATGGTGTTAGGTAATCCCCAAATCAATCATATTTGAAAGAAAAAAAGATATAGGTCAAAGTAAGTACTAAGTAGGTCATTAAGTTGGGTTTCAGTCTTTTAAGAGAGGGATTGTGTCCTACGAGGTCCAAAAAACAGCCGTGGGGTGACATTTAAAAAAGATGAAGCATATGTGAATAGTACTTTGCTAAGAGCATTTTTAGTGGCAATGTGGATTGGCTAAAAATTAGGGGTGTGAAATACCGAACCGAAACCCGGAAACTGACCCTAGCCCGGCCCAAATTATATCCTGATCTAGGTTTTTTCTATTTAACTGGTCAGAAAAAAAAAACCTGGACCGAACCGAAAATTCGTGCTCATAAGCGGGTCCTAAAATCTATAACCCGGTCCGGACCGATAAAAACCCGAAACAATAGTTTTAATATAAAATCAATATAATATACAAATATAATTTATAAATAATTCCTAATATATGATTATAATCATGGTGGATGAAAACCTACTAACTTTTAGTGACTAAAAATATGTTCAATTTGTTTACCATAATGATCATGGAAATATATTTATAGTAGATTTAGTCACTTTTTTATCCATAAGTTTTATTTCGTAATATTTTTAGAAAACCTATATCATTTATTTATATACATCTTAAACAAAATATGAAGATAATTATCTTCATTGGAATCCGAAGATCCGAAAATCATCACACAATCCTCCATATTCTCTCTTCCGTCGTTGCATCTTTGAGTTCACCGGAATCCCGTTGGGAGCAAAGAACCGTTCTATCCTAGGAGACGCTTGCTACATGTGTCGGGCAAAAACGTCTTAAGGAAACAACGTTCATGTTGGGCTCGGTTACAAGTAAACTTACGTTTTCCTTAATTATTTATTTGTTAATTCATTTGCATGCAGAATTTTATACATACATATAACAATGGCACCGTGGGTTTAAACAATTTACTTCATATTCGTATGCCACATCATGTAACTAAAAGAAACAGCCGCACCGTATATTTGCTGCAACGTACTTCCTCTAGCTTTCTTTCTCAAAGATATAAAATCTGAAAAAGGAGTGCCATCACATTATTTCTATATCAAAGTAGCTGTAGGTGAGCTCTCCACACACACACATTACACATATGTTGTTTGTGCTTTATTTTAATGTCATATATTAAATTAATCGCAAGTGGATCATTTGTTGAATATATATGTTGAATCACAAGTACATCAATTCTTGAACATGTTTAATTGCAAGCTGTGATTCCATGAGCGGCATATTTTTCTGACTCCCTATAATCACAAATAATATATATGTGAAATGTTGTCCGGAATTCCGGACAAGAACCGCCGTCTGCGGCGTTTAAGCGTCACCCCGGTGAATTTTTTGATGAAATAATTTTTCTAACATGTTATTCATGAAGTTTAGTTTATCCATAAAAAATATCAACTAAAAATTTAATTGGGAAGACATTCAAATAATTTTAGATGATATCTGCATTTTATATGTATATTTTGGACGCACTTATCTTTTAAAATTTATTTGACCACCTTCCCGATTGAATTTTTAGCTGAAAGGTTTTATGAATAAACAAGACTTGATGAAGAACATGCCAGAAACATTTCATCAAAAGTTTACACCGGGAAGGGGCCCAAACATCACCGTCCCGGTCGGCGCTTCTGATCATGACGGTGCTTCATCCCCTTTGATTCCTTACCCTTTTCTAAGCCACTATTGACAATCTATACATGTGATGCGAGGAAATGACGAAACAGAACATAATTTGAACAGGTGTTTCCAAATAGGACATATGTGATTTTTTTGACAAAAAAATGCAAAACGGAGTACGTAACTCCGAAACTAAAAAGTGGCCAAACCCAATTCGGAGTACACAACTCCGAAATCAGAGCGCGTCAGACCATTATTTGTTTTCGGATTTGCCAGGTCCGAATGCAGAGGATTAGATTTCCGGCCATTGTGATTGGTTGGCTACATTTCAGCGGATAGCTTTTTCTTGTTATAAATTAACCTTCCCTATCTGCCTCCTCCCATACCTTCAAGCACTCCTCTCAACCCCTCTATTGAAAGGTTAGTAACTCAATATTCCTCCTCCTCCTCCTCCTCCTCCTCCTCCTCCTCCTTCTTCTTGTTCTTATGTTATTATTATTGTTATTATTATTGTTATTATTATTGTTATTATTATTGTTATTATTATTATTGTTATTATTATTATTATTATTATTATTATTATTATTATTATTATTATTATTATTATTATTATTATTATTATTATTATTATTATTATTATTATTATTATTATTATTATTATTATTATTATTATTATTATTATTATTATTATTATTATTATTATTATTATTATTATATACAATTTGTATTATTAATGTGTGCATATATTTATTTATGACTTAAAATATTACCGAGTAAATTGTAGGTAATAAGTGTAGTAATCTTTTCTTATTATTATATTAGTAGTAATAATTGTAGAAAAAAGGTTTAATATTTCTATAAAAGTAGGTGAATAGAAAAAATGACATACTACGTATAACTTAATGGTCTTAGAAATTATTACGGAGTATTTGTGATGTAGTACTCTGTAGTAGTTAATCCTTCCTTATCAAAATAAGTGTTTTACTTCCATTTTAGGTGTATTACTTACTACAGATTTACTAATTATAGTTAAGACTTTGTATTAGTCGTAGACGCAATTTTTATAAATATTTATTACAATGCATTGTTATTTATTGTTGTTCTTGCCAATATTATAAATTACGGGATTGTAGAAATTGGTATATGTATTTAAGAAATTCATAAGTTGTTAAAAAATATATAAAATATTTAAGAAATTCATAAGTTGTATTGGTAAATATATAATTCATATTAATATTTAAGTAGTTATAAAATAATAGTGGACACATCAAAATATAACGTTAGTTTTACTGTTAAACTACATAAATTTTTTGAACACATTTAATGAATGACTTAAAAACATGAAAAAAAAATTAGTTTATGTTTGCTTGTTAATTGTAGGTTTGTAATGGCCGAACGAGTCGCACACCCAGGGCCTCAGGATCGTTCGGTGTTATTTATGCTACCCGATGAGCATCGTGCCAATCGTGTGTGGCATGAATCATCATTTCGTGACGTCAAACTGAAATGCCATCACTATTCGAGAGAAGCCTACGTTGAGGAGGGTCCGCGTCATCCTGAGGTGGTACAGTTGCTCAGAGTATCGGGGTTTCATGGTGTGGAGAGAATAGGACAATTGCAGTCAGGGGTGGAGACAGGGAGGGGCTGGAGGTGGCCACGGCCCCTGCAAGGAAAAAAATTCTTGAGTATATATATTATATATAAATACTTTTAATATGTAAAAAGTGTTGATATTTTAAACTTTGGCCTCTGCAATGTAAAATTGTTAAGGACCGGCCCCTTTAACCTTAAATGTCTGGCTCCGCCACTGATTGCAGTTAGATTGGTCTCTTGTGACTGCGTTAGTGGAGAGGTTGAGACCCGAGGTACATGCATTTCATTTGCCCTTTGGTGAGGTAGGATTGACCTTGCAGGACGTACAAGTGTTGTTGGTCTCTTTCCCGGTAAACATAACTTGAGCTAAAATTGAAACTTGCAACACCTTAAAGCTGGGAAAACCATCAAAATCCAGTCCCAACACGCATCAAATGCGTGTCTAAATACGGACTTATCAGCTCTACTGGCCGGAAATTACAGAAAATACTTGTAAAATAGGAAATAAAAGTACAGAGGAATGATGATATCTATTCTACTGTTCGGGGTTGTCTTCACCCTCTTCATCATCGTCATCCTCCTGACCCTCTTCATTAATGACCTGGACAATCTACATCCCCAATGCCCACCTGCATTTTTTGATCTGGGCAGTCAGGGCGTTCAGATGGCCAGGATGCAGATCAGGAGGGAAATCAGATGGCTGCACCGGTCGGCCAAAAAGTCTTTCTAGGAGGGGAAGGAGCGGCTGCAGCATGTGTTGACACCCGGAACCATAAACCTCCCGGGCGAGTGTTTCGGCCCATCCCTTGGTCACCGGGTGCTGGTCCAGGATCTTAACCCCCTCCTTTTGGCGCTCTTCGCCACTCAGCTTGGCCAGATGCTGCCGGAAGACGACGGGGAGCTGTTCAAAAGCATACTCTTCCTTCAGAGCCAGGAACTCTGAAGAAGTCTTGAAGTTCTCCCGAACGGCTGATAGATCAACAGTCACCTCAGGGGGGGCGTCCGGGATAGGAGAAGGAGACTCCGAGAATTTCACCTGAGCGGCTTCGGCAGCCGCCATATGTGATTGGAGAGAAGCCACCCTCACACAGAGCTCCCTGAGCTCGCTCTCCAGCTTTTTCCGGTCAGTCTTAGCGGCCTGAGCAGCCGAGGAGAGGGCCTGTTCAGCTTCCTCTCTCGCCACGATCAGACCTCGCTCCTTGACCAGGCGGCCCTCGCGAAGCTGCATACTGTAAATCCCCACCTGCACACGGTCAAACAGCGGTGACAAGGTGAATGCGCAATCAGAAAGGATTAGAAAAAAGAAAGACTAGGATGAAGAAACACCTTCAGCGCAGCTAAGGCTATACACTCCTCGGTTTCTTCGACCGGGAGATTGGGGGAGGTGAATCCGTTGAGGAAAGCGGCGGTGGACCAAATTCGGCTCGCCGGACAGCCCCCCTTTCCAACATATCATGAGCGGGATCCTGAAGGGAGATCCGCTCGAACTGCCTGGTCACCTCTGATTGGTGAGCGGCCACTTCATCGGCGGAGAATTGGTGGGATACCTGATTAGAGAAGAGCTGATCCATCAGCAGGTCGGCGTAAGAAGGTTGCTGATCCGGAGCGACCTGCTGAACGGGATCCGCCTCCTGAGCAGGCTCAGGTTGCTCAGTATTTGGAGGGGCGACTTGGGAGGAAGTTGCCTGGTCCGCCTTCCTCAACCTCTTCCGTTTGTTCTTCTTCTGCTGCTGAGCGGGAGGAGAGGCCTGCGGCTCATCTTCAACACCTACGGAGAAAAGCCTGCAATCATCCATGGCTGCTGGTTGTTGATTGGCTACTTCGGGTCCCGGGCTCGCGTCCGGATCAAGAGCTGAAAGTAACAAAGAAAAATATTAGTACCGAGCGGCTCCAACATGTGTGAAACAAAAGATGGAAATGTTCCTGCACAGGATGGACCGCCTGGGCCATGGTACTTTGTTTTTCAAATCAAGTAAACCCAGTAATTCGGGAAGTACCTATCCTGGCCTTGACAAGCTGTTCGGCGGTCAGGTAATCCATTATGTCATAAACCTTCCCCCTCTCTTTTGCCACGACATCCTTGGCCATTTCCTCAGAAATGAAGGGTTCAGGGGATTTTCTGGGAAAATCATTCCACTTCTTTGGGATTAGACCCTCCGACACGGAAATGAAGAAAAACCGGTCTTTCCATCCCTTGATTAACGAGGGAAAACCGGAAAACAGCATATGCCCCGTTCGGGCACTGGCTACCAAATAACCCTCTGCCTGTTGGGGGATAACTGTGTAGAAGTAATGAAAGAGATCCAGAGTGGGAGTCGCCCCGACGTCTGAACATCGACTGATGAAACCGGCCATAGCCCGGTAGGAGTTTGGCATAATTTGAGCCGGCACCACTTCATAGAACTTTAAAAGAGAGACAAAAAAGGGGCGAAGCGGGAATCTAAGCCCAGCATTCACTGAATCAAAATGGACCACCACCATCCCCGGAAGATGACGTAGTGGATGAAGCCCAGATTGAAGGCGGAAATCGATCGGGTCCGGGATCAAAAAAGGGATTAGGGCCCTATTCGGGCCTGTGAGCTTCTGTCGCCGAAACCTAATTAGGTTTAAATCGATCCTATGGCGTGGAACATCCCCTGGAGGGCCGGCTTCCATAAGTTCAAGTTCATCTTCGGACTTGGTACCATCCGGGTAGGTACTAGAAGAAGAAGCATTGCCGCCATGAGTACCACCGGCGACCTCCACATTGACATTTGCAGTCTCTGGTACTTCTGCTTCAACCTCCTGTGAGGAAGTCGCCTCAAGGGCAGATTTACTGGAACACGGTCGAGGAGCCATGACTACCGAACAAGAGAGGAAAGGGAAGAAAAAAGGACGAAGGGTACCTGAGAAAGAGGAACTGTTGAAGCTTTAGAGAGAAGGCAGAGCAATAGGCCGAAGATACAAGGTTTCGAAACTGGGAATCAAAGCTGGAGAAGCCTATTTATAATCTGTCACGCCGAATCACCGGCCAACCAGCAAGAAACACGTCACCAGTAATAATGACAGGGACACGTGTCACGCGGAGAGCCCTCCCCAAATAATCATGACGATTATCGGGAAATTGAAACGGCAGCCGAAGAAAACTGTCAAAATATGCCTCGGGAAATGGCGAAACACCATTCAGTACATACCCGAACAGCATTCGGGCAATAATCTTCTACTTCCTTATGCACTCACTACCGTTCGAGACATAGGAAGTGGGGGACTAGTGTTGGGATATTAGGTCCAGGCCCAATATCCACGGCCCAAAGTATGGCGGCCCAAAGCAATCCAGAGTACCCCGATCAGCGTTCGGCACAAATTTTCTACTTGGAATATTTCAGGAAACACTTCCGCCCGAAGCACCGATGGGGGGTCTCGTACTACAAACGCTCCCCCCGAACGGGTAATCCGCAAGTGGGGGCTGCATTTAATGCTATGACATGGCAGTAGCAAGTGGAGGCATGGGTGCATACGTGGCAGAGGTCACAGCCTACCGGATTCGGCCACGTGTCCAGCTTACCCATCCCCCATTTTAGTATAAATACCTGCATTAAGATCATTGGAAAGGGGTTAGCATTTTGATACTCAGAGCTTAGAAAATAGAATTATCTCTCTTATTCTTGTATTCTTGTACTTACCTACCGTTCGGGTAGTCCATTGTAATCGCAGCATTACTGAATACAAGTTAGCTCCTGAGTTGATTAATATTTCACTGTTTTATATTTTATACACTTTCCAAACCAACCCAACGTCCTAAAATATCCAAAGCTTGTGTTGGGCTTTCGGATCTTCGGGATTAAACCTCAACAAACTTTAAAGTGGCGTTTGAGTCCAGAGTGATCTAGGTGATGCCATTTTTTGCCTTTTAAAATATTATTTTTATATTAAAATATTAATGACTCATTTAATAAACCGATTACCCGCAGTTACTCACAGTTATACCCGTTACCCGTTGGGGCGGACGGGCGGTTATAGTTCAAATAAAAATTACCCGTTGGGTAATGAGGCGGTTACGGGGCGGAGGAATTACCCAACGGGCGGGTACGGTTATATGTATAACCGTTCCTGATCTGCCCCGTTGCCATCCCTACTTTCCAGGTTCGAATCCCATCCCAAATTTTGCTTTTGAAATTTGAATTAATATTACTTTATTTAATTTCATTTGCATGCCTAGCTATATAGTACATGTTAATTGAATTGTAAATGAAGTGTTGCGAATATAATTGTGAAGTGCACTATAGTCTATAGGGTTGTATACTTTCATACGATATAGTATTTTTTTTAATTAATGTAGTTTGTTTATTTTTTTGTAAAATGGATGATGACCTTCAGTCAATAATCAATGAAAATTAGTACGGAGTAATTCATTCTGCTAAAATTTTCTGTTGCGGTTTATTCTGGATTATTCTACGACTACAGACTGCTAGTTAATTACGGAGTGGTTGTCTCGAACGTATATAATACGGAGTGATGATGATGATACTACGTAGTCGATACGGAGTGTATTTCATAGTCTAGAGTCTAGACTCTAGCCTACTAAAATTATAGGTAGTATTATGGCTACGTATAGTTTTAGGCCTAAGTGCCTAACGTCTAGAGTCTGTACTCCTTATGTACTAGTATTCTACCCGTGCGATGCACGGAAAATTATTACATGCCAAAATATGCTGCGCAATAAGTTTAATAATTTTCGATGCATACATTAAAGTTTCATGTGTATTAATATCAATAAAAATTAAATAGTTGAAATTTAAAAATAATATGTAAGTTTAATAACTTTCGATGCATACAGTAGAGTATCATGTGTAATAATATCAATTTAAATCAAAACAATATAATGTTCCTTAAAAAGTTTGGAATAATAACAATATGAAAACAAAATCTATTACAAATTTCGGAATACTTCCTTAAATACAACGTTCGTTGTTACATTGGTACTATTTCCATCTGTGTCACATATAGCTCTTTTCAAACTCACAGGGTTAGTGACATGTGAAAGCGCAACATATAACTGATCATGAGTGAAAACAGTTTTTTTCAAGACTAATCCAATTCAACATTGGACAACGACTGTTCTTGACTCTTATTTATCGTCATAGCATATGAGACAATCAAAGGAAATTGTCTTCTTTCAAACTTGAAAGGCAATCTCACATTAGATGGAGTCAGAGACATTCTCGTTATCAAACCTTCTCACCCGCACTCAACCCTGTAAAAACTTTTGCTTCCAAAATATGCTTACCTTGTCACGCCCCAGACCGCATCCGAGCGCGTGTACAACCGCCGTATGACTA